TTGGCCAGGGATTGTCGTTCTGCATGCGTTTTTTCCGCTCTGGACCATGCTCCTCGCGTTCACTGCTCCAATTTTCTTTTTTGTCCTATGCCGTTCTCGTTCCTATACGTACTACAGGCGTTTCAATAGGAGCACGTGCGCCTGACTAATAAACTGGATTGTCGTGTCGATGCTTCTATGTTTCAATTGACAGTGATTCTAATTTCTGAATGTTGTTTGCAGGCGGCTTGTGTTCGGTAATGATTCCGACTCATTGTGGTGAGCCTCTGTGATTCTTTTGGGTTTCGTACATGTTTCTTCGTGCCTTAAGGCCGTGTTTGGAACACGGGTGTTTTTCATGTAAAGATAAATTGATTTATGCGTAGTTTGTATGAAATTCCTATGTTCCAAACAAGCTCTAAAGCCACAAGTACATACATATCTCATTCCAATAAAAAGAACTAGTAAGGCCAGTAGGAATTTCAACAACAACAACAACATAGCCTTTCAGTCCCAAGCAAGTTGGGGTAGGCTAGAGTTGAAACCCACCAAGAGCCCTAAGTCACGGTTCAGGCACTTCAATAGCTGCTTTCCAAGTACTCATATTCAAACATAGATCTCTAGGTATATCCCAAGCTTTCAAATCTTTTTTTATTGCCTCCCTCATATCAATTTCGGTCTTCCTCTACCTCTTATCATATTATTAGCTTGGCTTAGGACTCCACAATGCACTGGTGCCTCTGGAGGTCTCCTTTGGATATGGCCAAACTACCTCAACCGATGTTGGACAAGCTTTTTCTTCAATTGGTGCTACCTCTAGGCGATCACGTATATCATCGTTCTGAACTCATCCATTCTTGCGTGACCGCAAGTCCATCGCAACATACGTATTTCTGCAACACTCAGTTGTTGAACATGTTGCATCTTTGTAGGCCAACATTCTGCTCCATACAACATAGCCGGTCTAATCGTCGTTCTATAGAACTTACCTTTTAGCTTTTGTGGTACCCTCTTGTCACAGAGAATTCTAGAAGCTTGTCGCCACTTGATCCACCCTCCTTTGATTCTATGGCTAACGTCCGTATCAATATCTCCATCCCTCTGTACTACTTGACCTTCCAAACTTACATCTCCCTCCTCCTGTACAACTCCGCCAAAGTCACATCTCATGTATTCGGTTTTAATTTTGCTCAATCTAAAATCTTTAGACTCAAGGGTCTGCCGCCATAACTCTAGTTTCCTATTTACTCCCGCCTGGCTTTCGTCCACTAACACTACATCATCAGCGAACAACATACACCAAGGGATATCCCCTTGTATGTTTCTGGTAACCTCACCCATTACCCAGGCAAAGAGATACGGGCTTAAGGCTGACCCTTGATGAAGTACAATTTTAATCGGAGAGTAATCTGTGTTACCATCGTTTGTTTGAACACTAGTCACAACGTTGTTGTACATGTCCTTGATGAGGGTCACGTACTTTGATGAGACTTTATGTTTGTCCAAATACCACCACATAACATTTCTTGGTATCTTGTCATAAGCCTTCTCCAAGTCAATGAAAATCAAGTGGAGGTCCTTTTTCTGCTCTCTAAACCGCTCCATAACCTGTCTAATTAAGAAGATTGCTTCTGTGGTTGACCTTCCGGGCATAAAACCAAATTGGTTTGTTGATATCTGCGTCGTTCCTCGCAGGTGCTGCTCGATGACTCTCTCCCATAATTTCATAGTGTGGCTCATCAACTTAATTCCCCGATAATTAGTACAAATTTGGATATCCCCCTTGTTCTCGTAGATTGGTACCAATATGCTTCTTCTCCACTCCTCAGGCATCTTGTTCCATCGAAAGATATTGTTGAACATCTTGATTAGCCATACTATAGATATATCCCCGAGACATCTCCACACCTTGATCGGGATACCATCAGGGCCCATCGCTTTGCCCCCTTTTATCCTTTTCAAGGCTTCTCTGACCTTCAATTCTTGAATCCTCCGCATAAAGCGCCTGTTAGTGTCATCAAACGAGTCGTCCAGCTGAAAAATGGTGTTCTCGTTCTCACCATTGAACAATTTATCAAAATACTCTTGCCATTTATGTCTGATCTCATCCTCCTTCACCAAGAGCTGCTCCCTCTTATCCTTTATACACTTGACTTGGTTGAAGTCCCTTGTCTTCCTATCGTGAGCTTTAGCCATCCTATAAATGTCATTCTCTCCTTCCTCCGTACTCAAACGTCAGTAAAGGTCCTCATAGGCCCGCCCCTTTGCCTCACTCACCACTCGTTTTGCAGTCTTCTTTGTCACCTTGTACTTCTCTATATTGTTTGCACACCTGTCATGATACAAGCGCTTATAGCACTCCTTTTCCTTAATAGCCTTTTGCACATCTTCATTTCACCACCAAGTGTCTTTCGAATCGCATCCGCTCCCTTTGGTCACTCCAAGCACCTCTAAAGCAACCTTTCGAACGCATGTTGCCATCTTCTCCCACATGCTGTTTGCATCGCCTTCATTATTCCAAGGGTCCTCTTCAATAACCTTTTTCTTAAAGACCTTTGATGCATCCCTTCTAATTTTCACCACTTCGTTCTAGCAACTCTAGCTTGTTTGTTCCCACGAGCTTGCACCAGAAAACGGAAGTTAGCCACCACCATTATGTTGAGCGACCACACATTCTCCAGGTATCACGTTATAGTCCACGCATGTTCGTTTATCCCTCCTTGTAAGGACAAAGTCGATTTGACTAGAGTACTGGCCGCTACTAAAAATCACTAAATTGGACTGTCTCTTTACGGAAGAAAGTGTTAGCTATCATCAGATCAAAAGCTATGGCGATGTTTAAGACTTCCTCTTTCTCCTAGTTCCTACTACCATATCCAAAACTCCCATGAACTGCCTCGAAACCTGCACTTGATGTACCTACATAGCCATTAAGATCACCTCCTATAAAGAGATTCTCGCTACTAGGGACAACTCTAACCAAGCGATTTAAGTCTTCCCAGAAAAGTCGTTTAGCACTCTCATCATGACCTACTTGGGGAAATACACACTAATTACGTTTAAGACCATATCACTAATGACAAGTTTAACTAAGATGATCCTATCCCCTTGCCTTCTCACCTCCACCACACCATCCTTGAAGCTCTTATCAATCAAAACTCATACTCTATTTTTATTTGAAGTTGTCCTTGTGTATCAGAGCTTGAAGCCGGTATTGTCTACCTCCTTCGTCTTCTGCCCCTTTCATTTAGTCTCTTGAACGCAAAAGATATTTACACGCCTCCTAACCGTTGTGTCCACTAACTCTCTTAACTTACCTGCAAGGGACCCTATATTCCAGCTACCTAAACGGATCCTAACTGGCTCGACTAGCTTCCTTACCCTTTGCACCCGTCGAGGTAGATGTGAAGACCCTTGTTCATTTTGCACCACATCCGGGCGCCGATGTGGCGCGCCACTAAGGATGCGACGACCTGATCCTTGCTCACTTGACACCGTGTCCAGATCACGACACGGCGCGTCACGGGTGTGACGACCCAGCCCTTGCTCATTTAACACCATACCCGGGTTCCGACATAGCGTATCGCTAAGAGGGTTACGCCCCGACAGGATTCTTTTGGGTTTCATCTCCATTAAAGTGGCTAAGTTTTTACATTATCTCGCCGCGCCTAACACAACCCTCCTTCTTTACTAGGGCTTAGGACCTGCTATGCCGGGACACCAAAGATGCTCACCATAGGTGGAGTTGTCAGTAGGAATTTCACACAAACAAAAATGCAAGATTTATGAAAATGTCCCGCAATCTCCCAAAAATATATGACTAGTTCTAAATTTATGGTAAATCAAACTATTTTTAATATAAACAAGTTCGTTACAATTTATTTTTTCACAATTGGTCGTCCTAGGCCTTAATATTTCCTGCAAAATTGGAGTTTTTGTTTTCACACATGCTATAATCTAGGATTTCCTTTGCCACGTTTTCGGGGTTATGCGAGAAAACTTTACTTAGGCTTCCCTATGCTCTTATAGCACTGCTCTTATAACACAAGGACAAATTGCGTGCCTATTTGGAAAGTTAAAAAAAAACAAACGCAGAAATTTTGATTCTCACAAGTCACAAGAGCATGCAAACATTAAATCGTTTCAAGATCAAATTTGACTAAGGCCTTGTTTAATTGGTGAATTTTTTTAGAAAATAGTACTGTAGCACTTTCGTTGTTATTTGACAATTAGTGTCCAATCATAGTCTAATTAGACTTAAAAGATTCGTCTCGTGAATTTCATCTAAACTGTATAATTAGTTTTATTTTTTATTTATATTTAATGCTTCATACATGTATCCAAAGATTCGATATGACAGAAAATCTTGAAAAATTTTGTAAAATTTTGAAAACTAAACAGGCACTAAGGTTCACATCTCCTGCGAACCACTCCGAACAGATGACGGAAACGTGAGGACACAAACTTGTGATGAAATGTTTAGGAAATTGGATAAATATAAGAAATTGATTCTGAATTGCTGTATAAAGTATAAACATAGCGTTTACAGCAGTTACTATGTCCCCCAACAAAAAACCAAATATTGCTTCTGAGTGAGGAAAAAAATTACCGTTATGATGCAGGAATCCATTGGTTGCCCACCCCAGGGTAACATGACTTACACCAAAAATGGGTACACTAATCTACAACTACAACAAAGTTATAAAAGAGAAAAAAAAACAAATGATATCAAACCAGTAAGCTTGTAATATTTCATCTTACGGCAATGTCTGTATATGTACAGGAGCAAGTTCCGTTATTTTCTTTCGCCAACATAGATGGCAACAATGACACTGTAACTAGAGACGTCGCCGATGAAGCAGGAAAAGAAAATAGCTAGCAAAAATGCTAGCAAAGCCTCTTCAATCCTTTCCTGCCAGCCTCCCCAAGCTACTCCGCTCCATTTAACCTCAGGTTAGTGACAAAAGATAGATGAATGGCCATGACCAAGCGAGCATGATAAAAATGCTAGCTTAGCCTCTTCAATCATGTGAAAAGAACAATGGTGGTTGCTTGAAGCTGGAGCTGGAAGCACCTGCTTTATTTGACGATGTTAACATCTTATCCTTAGCAGTGGCATTGCCTACAACCTGTTCAGAAGAATCCAGCTGCTGGTTGTTTTCACTATGGATGGGTCGAGCCCAAATTTTGATTAGCCCCTCGCGGCATATAGTGAGGATTGATTCACTAGTGAATTCCAGGCCGGATAGGGGATCTACATGTACCCGGTGTGCAACGAGAGGCGAGAGCTTTGGCACATCTCGCATCCGTGGAGAAGGCTGGAGAACACTAGTTGGAGGGCATGCATTGTCCCAGTGTGCAGAAGGGCTTCCACTACTGAATGTCGGTGAGCCACCAGAAGGATGGCTTAGAGGGACAGCAATCTCCTCCAATGCCAGATCCCAGAGAAGCAGTTGGGTATCCTAAGTGCAAGCAAAGTGTAAAGGTATCATTGCCAGCATTAATTCTGTCAAACAATCAATACCAGGTAAAGGCTATAGCACATCCTATGTTCAAGAAACGATCACAAAATATCAAGTTATACCACAAATTAATTACCTAAGGAAAAATAGTTTGAAACCCAATTTTACAACAAATACAGAGAAGGAATAGGCACCAAGCGACCAAAAGGACAGCAGGAGCATGCTCTCTCTTTCTAGCACCAAGTGCAACACAAACTGCTAAGAGTCCAACAACTAGAAAGAGCGAAGAATTCTAGAATCTAGATACTAGTAGCAATTTCAGTTCTTCTCAGTATTCAGAAGCTCAGAAAGTAAAAGGACAAAATGTGACTAGTACTTGTTGTCATGATTCAGAGATACTATAGTAAAAACCCACAAGAAAAACTCCAGATAAAAAACAATCTTATATCAACTCCTAGGTACCTGTCCAACTGACCCAAAGCGATACATGACATTTTCTTCCGTTTCATCTGAATTTGGTGGGGACCAATACGGATCAAAAGAAACTGCACTAACCTGTACAATTGCAAATTAATTTGACTCAAAATGCAAGTTTGAATAAAAAATGCCTATGTGATAATAAACAAAGACAATTGTAATGATAATATCACCCATGAATTATGCCCTTCACCCCATGCAACTATCTTTCTTTCATCCATGCTCCATACTTGCACAAGATCATCTTCGCCACCTGATAACAAATATTTGCCATCCGCACTGTAACAGGACATCACAACAAACTAATTAGCACCTTCTAGATTCCAATTCACAGAAGTGCAGAGAGAATAAAACAAGATTCAAACATGCAATGGTTGTATGCATAAATTAGTCAATCCATTCGAAAGCTCAGATGTTAGCAGGAAAGGTTTGGGTATGAACTCGTTAAACAAATAGGCATGTATCAAATATTGAGAACCAAGTAGTAGCTTGGTTTGTTAGTAATCCAGTTGAGATGACGGCCACTGGGCTCAACCAGAGGATCGCCAACTTGAGGGTACCTCCCTGAGAAACTGGGTTTTAGTGACTTCATGGCTAGCAAAGCTTCACCCCACCTGCTACCACCCTATCATCACAAATCCCACTCAACCCCACCACATTGCAAGCCCTTCTTTCCCATTCATTCCATCCCACCCCAAAGCCTTCAACTTCAAGGGCACAACTGAAACTGAATTAAGCACTGTCCCCCACCCTAGCCATGTGCAGGATGATCTCCGAAAAAAAAAAATCTGGCTGACCGGGTATCATATGTGGCTATGTAATCAGGGTATCTACTGGCACGAGAGCATTCCGGCATTCGTGTCTCCCTCGTGTGCCGACACATGCCTCCGGCAATTTTACAGAGATGCCCTCTATGTTTTCGAAAACTAACCCGCAGTCCGGTGCATCGTCCATAAACAGTTTTCACATTCTGATATTTTTCATGTAAATCCCTGAAGTAAATTTTATTCTCACGTGAGAGGAAATTCGAGACTTGCTCCTTTTTTACATAATCCCCTTGACATTTTGCAGAGAGCCCCTTCCACCCAGCCGAGCTCTCCACCTCTCCTCCTCCTTATTCCCCTCTCCATTCTCTCTCTTCCCCGGCTGCCGATCCCCTCGCATCCGCACATGCCTCCTGGATCGCCGTCGTCACTCCTCCACGGCCGTTTCTCCGTCCACCTGCCACGTGGTGGCCCTAGCCACACACGAGAAGCAGCTTCATCCCACCCTCTCCGTGACCCTCCCTCCTAGACCTTCTTCCCTGCGGCAATGGACAAGGATCTCGCCCAGATCCTGGTAGCACATGCGGATCCACCAGACCATGGAAGTATGGCAGGGCGGCGGTAAGATCCGGTCTCTTTCCCTCTCCTGCCATATGTCTGCTTTCGTCCCCTTGGTTCCTTGGCTCCTCGCAGATCCTTCATCGGGCGCCCCATGATGCGGTTCATAACTCTAGATCTGCGCACCGGTGATGTGCCTTCTCGAGGTGGGCATCAACTTTCTTCTCCCATACCTTCTCCCCCGAGCTGGTTGACGCTGAGGTGCTCGCTTCCATAAATGCAGCGATTGTGTCATCTACAGTTCAAGGTACATACTCACTACCGACTGTGTGCCTCCCAGTACTTCCGGGCGTGTAGCATCTGCCGCTGCTTAAGGTCCTGTGGCCAAAGCTATCTTGTGTTAGTAAGGACATGTTGCTTTAAGGTTAATATTGTTTCCCATTTGTTTTAGATCATGTGAGTCATTATTTGCAGCCTCTGATGATCGATCTGCATAACTATTATTTTGCAAATCCAGTTTATGAGATTGCTATGATAATGTTTAGGTGAAGGGCGGGCCTGGTGCAAGCGGTAGAGTCTTACCGCCTGTGACCGGAAGGTCCCGGGTTCGAGTCGCGGTCTCCTCGCATTGCACAGGCAAGGGTAAGGCTTGCCACTAACACCCTTCCCCAGACCCCGCACAGAGCGGGAGCTCTCTGCACTGGGTATGCCCTTTATGATAATGTTTAGGCCTAGGTTCAGGTGAACTAGAATTCCATGTTCAAGATTTTCAAGGAGTCTCCTGTGCATTTGAATATTTGATAGACACTGACTAATCATTACAACAACAACAAAGCCTTTAAATCCCAAACAAGTTGGGGTAGGCTAACACTGACTAATCATTCCTCATTATTTTTACAGTTCACTGTGGCCATTGCTACTCAGGTGTGTTGTGCGTCCTACTTTAGGATAAATTGCAGAGGCATGATTAGCCTGTCACGAAAGCAAGTGAATTCCAAAATATTTTGCTTGCAGTTGCTAGCATTTCACTCTCAGGCATAGCATGAATGAGCTCCTTTAGGCTTGAGTTGTCCAAAATATATGCCAATTGCTGTCCAGCACAGATATATAATCTATATAGCATTCATGGTCGACCGTTGATTTGATCTGACGACCGTTCGAAACTAAACTACTCAATGGCACAACTTACATATTGCATCTAACAAATAACGAGAGCATGGGGCAAATGATGCTGGATCAATTTGCTGCTCCTCAATGATGTACTGTATTTAAGTTTCAAACAAAAGGTCATCTGTGTTTAGACAAAAGAACTAATGTATTAGTTGTTGCTCCTCATGCATATGCATCACACTGAAATCAGTGTATTATCAGTATACAGTGGAGAGCAAACATCATGCAGTATTTGTCAGTATACACTGAGTAAGGAATTGAAGCAGAAACCATATGTTCCTCATGCTATTTGTTTAATAAACCTAGCCGTCTGCTAGGCACTGTCCTTGGCATGACGTTTGTAAAACTTCAGTGTTTTGTAATCAGCACATTATTTTGCTGCTACATTGCCTGTGAGGCTCTAATCGATATGGAATAAAAAAAGGTTTGGAGCTCCTCAGTTGATTGACTTTTGATCTAATGTTAACTTTTAAATTAAGCAAACCAACAAAAAGTTCAGAAAGATATGTAACAGTATGGTCCATTCCCTCCATCTTCTCCTGAATGTTACAGCTCATCATGTCAGTTTATGTTGTGGAACCTGGGAAATACTAAATTGAATTTGACTCTAACTCTCTGTTCTGTCAGGGAAGCTGAGGAACATCGGCAAGTGGTCCATACTTGGAAAATTGATTTTCTGAAATGATACTCTTATATAGAAGCTCTATACTTGGGAATTTGCTGATTTGATCTTGATATATTTCTCCATACTCAGTGACAAGACAGAGTTTTTTTCTGGAAGTCCAATGCTCTTTTTAATATCCAACTACTATCTCACACACCAAGTCGTAACTTCAACATAAATTATTTGATGAATATTCAGCTACTTTTTGTTTACACAATGTTTTATTTCTATGGTCGTTATTTTTCAGATATTGCGTTTGCTGTCCTGCCATTTGCATATGAGTAGTGTCCTTATTGTAATCCTTTGTTTGGAATTCTGCTAAACATATCTGAACCCATCCATTCAGGTGCTTAGATAAGGCTCCTGTCGTTTTAGAGGACCAAGAGATGGACAGGCTGGACAGCTATCGCTCATGGCTAACCCAGGTGGAGGAAGTGAAGATTCTGGTCTGGGTGCTTCCAATATGGTTCGCCTGTGTCTTCTATTCGGCTGCAATGTACCAGACTATTTGATTAATGCGTGTTCATCATGTTCATGTGCCCCTTGTTCATGTGCCTCTTAGGTGCTGACGCCTTGGCTATGTCAATATACTCTGTGTGTGCTTAGATATTAGTGTTATCATCTAATTATAACTTTACAGAGCCATGTTTCTCGAGCATAATCAATAGCTTATTGTCTTTAATTCATTGCAGGGCGCCCGAAGGGTGCCTGATGTTCTAGTCCACCTTTACACTGAGCTGAGAATATTGTTTGTTAATGCAGTATATCAGCTGAGATAGAAGCCATGGTCCTGTGTCATTGTACCAGCTGCTACAAGCCAATAGCCTATACAAGTACATTTCCACCATGTACCACAGTCCACACTTCAAATCTATACATTGTACTAGATGTGCCTTCATCCTTTCATATTCCTTCATCTTCAACTTATAGTTACTCTGTTTGTTCCCATCTTGCCATTTCTATTTTTTCTCCAAGAATTTCAGATTTTCCATTTAGATGCTTGTAATCATGAATTCTTCAAATAACAGAAAACTTGCATCTGACATATTGTATGGGATTCTATATTGTAATATTGTTTCCTTTAAGATTTATTAATTCTGTATGTTAGGAATAGGAAAAGCCAAGCAGGTGCACCAACTATCTTGCCCCTAGCCTACTATACACACTATCCATTCTAAAACTCCATACATTATGCTCATGTAATTTTATATGCAAAAATTGGCCAACAATACTAATTTTGAGTTTTGACAAACATCTCAGAACTAAGAATTTTCACAAGGTAAAATGACTCGATGACCAAAAGATTGGAATAGGTTTGCTATATAGTGATTCACATATTACTCATCAGTCATCAGGACTACACAAGTTAAAACATATACAACCTAAAAATCCGACAATAATACAACTGATGCAATACATCATTAGTGGAACTATACACGGTCCTGTTTTCATCTGTCAGACTTGGACATGCAAAAATACTTCAGTTCTGTGGAAATAGGCGGCAGACCATATCTAATCTAAGCAGTAAAACATGCCATTGGCAGCTTACCTCCAAGAGCAACACAACAATGCACCATAGTAACTTTTCCCACCAAATATTAGTTGTTCTTTCGCAAAGTCAAATACTCTTAAATAACCTGCATAAGATCAGATTGTTTCAGTGCAATATACAACTTTTCCAACAGCTAAACCTTTTCTGCACAAAGCTGTCAATTCTCATTCTTGGGCAGAGAAATTTACCATCTCGCCCAACAGTTGCCAAGTAAGCACCATCTGGTGAAAAGGAAATGCCATTGATTGCACCTTGACAGATGTGCCACCTTGCAATTGGATTACCCTGCAGTGTAATTTTAAACCGCAGAATGAATCATAGCAGTCACAACATTAGGACTCAATGTTAAAGAATTTCCAATTAAGGGCATGTTTAATTCTCTTGCCCACCCCTGCCTAGCCTTGCCTAGCAAGGTAGAGGAGAAAAACGCATGAAGCTTTATTTGGTTTGAATTTGGGAAAGGAGGGGATTCCCTTGCTTTTGAGGGAGAGCCAGATTAGCTCTCCTCACCTATCAAGGTGTGCCTTGCCTAACCTTGCCAAGCAAGGAAAGTGAGCAAGTTTGTGCAAGACAACCAAACATACCCTAACTCTCATAGGTATTTTGCAAATTTTGACCTAATGACAGCAATGATAACCGTTCCATTTCTATATTTCCAGTATGACCTGCTGGAATGGTTTCAGTACTATTTGGCAGTTGGTATTAACTGATATCATAGAAGTAAAGACCACTGATAGAAAGGTCAGGCCAAGGATACACAAGTTTATGCTTTAATAACGTCAACAACCAAGAGGCAAGAATGCAGCCAACACCAGCACACACTTGTAATTGCGTCAAGTACTTATGATAGATATTTTGGTACATGTCAGCTATGAAGAAAGGGCAATAGAGTGTTGCAGGAAGTCCAGGCACTTGTTTCCATAATAAATTTCCAGAAAAAAACATTTTACTAATACCCTGAAGTAAATTATGAAACATACATAGCCATCTCAATGCAATTTTTAGTAAAAGAGATATCATTGTGGCTTGAGATACCTTACTCGACTTTGCATGTGAAATCAGCACCTGGCTTTGATCCTTTACAGTTGGAAATGTCCAATCAGTATTTCCATCCTTGGACTGAATGTACAAAAGGAAACGTATCAGCAAAGTAAACTTAACAAAGTTTGATTACTTCATACAAAGCTCCATGAGAAGGGCTCACTTTGTCATACACGTACAGATTCCCATCAGCATGACTAACAACAAAAATTCCTTCACGCTCTGGAACCCATGCAACACAGGTGCACCGACTGCAATAGATTGGTGTCCAAACATCAATATATATACTTACAATTTAATAACTGTGTAAAGAAAAGCATACATCTACACCACAGAAATAGTATCTTCTGTTTTAACTGCAGCTTTGTAGTTGCCTTTGAACTAAGTTTAAGTAAACTCTCCCAAAAAATGATAGGGAAAAAATCCATTCAAATATCCTAGACAGCAGCAGGCCCAGTACATAATCAAGATTATCATCCTTCGGTAGTTCAATCGCCACAGCGATTTCAAAGTAGCGGATCCCTATACAAGTATACATGCATGCTAACCAAAATGCTTCCCTTTAGATCTTACTCCCTCCATTCTCTTTTATAAGGCCTGATTTAATATGACAAGGTCTCCCAAATTACACTTTGGCCATTTATTTATTTTATATTTTATATTTTATTTTTTATACTTACAAACTTATGAAGGGCGGGCCTGGTGCAAGCGGTAGAGTCTTACCGCCTGTGACCGGAAGGTCCCGTGTTCGAGTTGCGGTCTCCTCGCATTGCACAGGCGAGGGTAAGGCTTACCACTGACACCCTTCCCCAGACCCCGCACAGAGCGGGAGCTCTCTGCACTGGGTACACCCTTTTTATACTTACAAACTTATGATAATTGGATAGTACATTTAATCGCATTGCAAATCTAACGGTATCAAGTCTGTATTATAATAATTAAAAATTATTAAACAAATTATTGGTCAAAGTTTTTATTTTGATATGTGTGTGTGTGCCTTATAAAAGAGAATGGAGGGAGTAACTAGGAAAGGAAGTTACAACAGCTTTTGACTTTAGCATTTCATGCAGTAAGAAAAACAAGCTAATTTGCAAGCTATCCAAGGAACTGCATCAAGATACAACCATAATGTGGTAACCTTCCGAGCTAAGATCCCCTCAACAATTCCAGGATTGAGGGTCCTGACAAGTGTTGGAAACACCAATCCCCCACTGTGTCATAAAAGGACATTCCAGGGTTTTTTTTCAAAAAAAAAAAAGGTGGCCACAGAAACCACAATTCCACATCGTATCATTAGAGGAAATTCTAAACCAATCTAAAATGGCAGAAGCCTAGCCTGCCTAGGTGGCACACTGGTGCTCAACACCACCCCTCCTGCCTGGTCAGTTGAGGAACAAGTGCTTAAGTGGCCACAGACTTAGCGGGTTTTTAAAACGCTGACAAGATAAAGAGGAATCAGGATATCCCGGGTCGCAGCTTTCCCATATTATCCAATATATAAAGCAGGCAGCATGGAGAAAGGTCATGCATTATGATTTTTATTTACACAGATGATGGAGGATAATGTTTTGCTGATGTTGATTGATGTTTCTCAAAAGCAGCTAACTAAATAAACATGTAAATACTTTTCATTATCCACCAATATTATTTGCATTATCCACCAATCATAACCAGTACTGACACTACCCCATAAATTGTACCGTATGCATGTATGCTCCTCCCACTTTTAGGTGATCGCGTTCTAACCTCTAAATATAATGGGCGGCTCAGTAATAAATTTGGGATCTTCTTGGGCATACCCAATGCAGAGAGCTCCCGCTCTGTGCGGGGTCTGGGGAAGGGTGTCAGTGGCAAGCCTTACCCTCGCCTGTGCAATGCGAGGAGACTGCGACTCGAACCCGGGACCTTCCGGTCACAGGCGGTAAGACTCTACCGCTTGCAACAGGCCCGCCCTTCAAATTTGGGATCTTCTTGAAACTGTCTAAATCTCACAAGAAAAATACAAATTTTAAACATTTAAAATGAATGCTAACTTGTTAGGCCATGTACAAGAGGACCAAACAGCATCCAAGTATTTGACCATCACTGATTTCAAGAACACCTTTCAGAATTATGTTGTAGATATGTTTCTACGCAGTGATTGTCCAGGTTCAAATTTTGATCAACTTCATAAATGAAGGTTTCCACAGTGATCGTCCAGGTTTAAATTTTGACTAACTTCATAAGTGACAGTTTGCACAAAAAACATCCAAAATACAATGAAGTTGTCACTTCACATCTAGCACGTTATATTATCTTTGCCGATGCATGCACTACAAGTTATTATAAGTTGACAACTTAGTATCTTCCATGCATATGGGTCATCATTACTTTTGAAAGCATCTCAGCAAATTGTAACAGATTACAGTGTACTGCATGTCGGACATACTTGCATCATACATTATCCTGATGCTATCCAGCTTCAGTTTTTATCGACTTGTATAACTCGCAGGACCACTACCATATCAAGAAATAAATATTTAATACTTGTAAGGTAACGGTGAGACAAATTTGCCAAGCTTATTAATGGGGAAATTGACACGTCACTTTTAAATTAAACAGTAAAATGAAAACATGCCTGCTGGCAGCGCCACCTTGACTTGGATCTTTGTCTTTGTCTTTGTCTTTATTAACAAAATGCTGATACGAAACGGGCTTCTTTCCAGGATCTTGCAACTGCTGCCTCAGTGACATTGAATAGACTGTATAACGAATAAAAGAACTTATGCATGATTCTTTAACTAATATAAGCATAAAGCTTACCTAATTATGAAGCATTTGACATACCATCTCCTGAGAACACCCCAACGAGCAGATCGTGCCCGTCCTTGGCCTCTGGGTCAAATGCATGGCAAAGCGGGTTTGAGCTGCTGAAATGGATGGACTTTATTGGATCCTGATGCAATTAGCACGTGATCAGAGAACCACAGGATACCAAAGTTACAAGCAACATAACATGCATGCATACATGCAACAAGAGAAAAGGAAATACTTTGTCGTGTGAGTTGAGATCACTGATGAAGAGCGTATCCGCAGTATTGAATATGATGTACGTGCCCTTTCCATCATAGTTTGCCATGCCTTGCGATCCACTTGCACTAGTCGACACACCAATGCCTCCACCCATGCGGCTGTTTCCTGAGACAGCCCTGCTGGTACCATTGCTCCCAAAGCTAAGTGCCCGGCTCCCATTCCCAGTGCCGAGCAGCCTTGCAGCTGCAGACCGCATCCCACTACCAGCACTTGGTGTTGAAGGCGTGGAACCTTGGCCTGCTGGCTTCTCCTTCAAATATGCCACCGTCATCTGGCACCATCACAACAAATAATTGATAACTGCATAAAGGATGTGTAATGTACACAACACAAAAGAACCGGAAATCACAAAGCCCTGAAAACTTTTAAGCAAGTATTTGTTCTATGATATTAGAGATTTAGAATTAGCAAACAGAAACCTGTGTGTCATTTTTTTTAATCTATAGAATGGTAACTCGAAATATATGCAAGGACTATCCATACATGAAACATAAGACACTAATCTACGCTGCGCCTGATCCAATCTATGCTGCACGCCTGCTCCTAGAAACTTCCGAATATCTTCTGCATGACCAATCGAATTCCCAGCGCATCTACAGCGACTCATCCAGAAACAGCACCTGATCAGGCCAAGTCAACCCACATCCCAACCCAACCCAACCCAACCTCGCCATCCAATTCCCCATCCATCCAGCACAGAGCGACCCATCGATAGCCCCATACGGCGCATCGAACCCCCCCTCGCTACCCTAACCCGAACGACGGCGCCCTCGCTACCTGGGAGACGGTCTTGCCGCTGTGGTTGTAGTGCACGACGGCGGGGGAGTGCGTCTTCTCGTACTGCAGCTTGTGCCGCCCCTCGGGGGTCTTGAAGTAGGTCTTCAGCCCGCTGGCCCCCGCGCCGGCCCCGCCGGGCGACCCCGCCGCCGACGCCATGGCGATCGCGGACCGCCGCAATGCTCGCTCGCCGACCCCGCGCGCGTGCGTGCGCAGGCAGACGAGACCGCACGAGAGCGGTCACTGGCTCATGCCCCCGCCGCCGACGCGAGGGGTAGGGTTTTGGAGGCGAGGGGAGGCGGTGGTCCGATTGGGGATGAGACGGCGGTGGATGCGGGAGAGGAGAACGGAGCCTCGGAGTCGGAGGAGAAAAAACGAGTTGATTATTTTTGCGGACTCTTCCTGTGTCGATAGAGAAATCCATATGCCATTGGCATCGGGGCGAAAAGGGAAGAAAACTCTTTCGGGTTAGGACGAGACAAAGCATTGACTTTTTTTTGAGAAAAAATATAAAATGGAAAATACTAAGTAAAAAAATGCTTATAAAAGTTGACTTTCACAATCGCCAAACATGCCATCAGCTCACTCATGTGAGCATCTCAGCGAGTCATTCTAAAGATAAAGCTCTATCGCTCTCGTTCGTTTGGGCTAGTTTGACTTATAAACCATGGATAAAAGTATTGTTGACTAATTTGGTGTGAGAGAAAAATACTATTCGTTGACTGATAAGTCATGACTTATAAGCCAAATATGATCCAACGACCAGGCTGTATATTATATTAGTTAAAGAGTTATTTAAGTAAAATTATTTTTTATACTTTTGTATCCGTAAGAAATCCGAAACAGAGAAGTTGTTGGAGAGTATTTTTTCATCAAGATATATATTTCTATAAATTAGATACGGTCTAAATAATTAGGTCCATTTGTAATTGGCACGGTTCAAAGAACTACCATTACTATATACATAGAAAGTGTATTGTCCTTCTTTTTGAAATATGTCACTATATACACCCAGAACGTCTTAAGGCCCATATACACAAGTATGGATATCTATTAATTTTTGTATGGATGATTTTGCTTTAGCTACTAGTTTCTTCCTCACCCCGACAAGTCCCCCTCCAGCACGGCAGCACCGTCAACCACCTACACCGCCCTGTCAGTCGAGAGCCCCTATCCTACTTGAGCTTTTTACATGTGTGCCACTATAAAAGATGATCACAGCTTACGTGTTACTAAAAAGTTCGTACGCACCTATGTGCCATGACACTTTTTTTCTCCCAAGCTATTCTGTTCACCTTCTGTTTGATTTTTGCCGTTTGTCAGCCCTAACACGTGGGCCCAGTCAGTAAAAACGTTCAAAATGCCCTTCTGTCAAGGCGTAAACCGCTTTCTATGTTTTTCCCCATCGGCATCTTCTTCCGACCGCGCGGCCCTCTCCGCGATGCCCGGCCTCTCGACTCCGGCGACCCCCATCCTGACTCCGCGCGAGCCCTTCTCGACTCCGGCGAGCCCGGCTCCCTCTCCCTCTCACATCCACGATGCGCCGGCCGCGGCCCCGATGCGCAGGCCTGGCCTCGATGCGCCGGCGTCCGCTCGGCTAGCGTCCGTCGCCTGCCCCGAGCCTCGGCCCCGACGCGCCCTCGGGCCCTGAGAAGGCGGTGCGCGGTCGAGGCCTCGATCGCATGTCACAGCTCGCGCAGCGCGGCTCCGGCGACTAGGGGCTGAGCTCCCCCCACGCAGCCAGGTCGAGCACCGCCCGTCGAGCCTCCACTGGCGCGCTCGATGGTGACCACGTCGCGCCCGTGCCTTGCTAGCTCCTCCTCGCCGCGCCCGGGCGACCTTCCTCCCGCTCTGCGTGTTCCTCGCCCTCGCCGTCTCTGCCCAGTCATGCCGCGCTTGGCGCGCCGCGCGGGTTCCGACCGCGTCGCCGCGCTGCTGGCCTCCCCCGGCGCCGTCGTCTTCATCTTCGGGCTGTCCGTGCCCTGGGAGGCGCTCAGGGTCGCGGTGAGGCTCGCAGGGTCGGGGTGGTGCATCCTCGGCTTGAGGCGGCCTTGGCGCGCGTAGGCCTGGGCTGGGTCCGACGAGTTCAGGTGGGCAGGGAGGTCGCGACCGGCGGTGCTGCGACGCGGCCCGCGCAGGGGCGCACGCGGCCGTGCGACCATCGCGCGCGTCGGTCGCGGTGGTTGGGGCGATGGAATCACTGGGTGCCGTCGGTGGGCGCGCCGGCGATGGAGGCACGAGGCAGCGAGCGGCTAGGCTCTACACAACCCTGACGTCCGCGAGTCCGACTGCGCCCCCGGCCCCGGCGCCCGCGCGACCGGCTCCACCTCCGGCCCCGGCACCCGCGCGGCTGGCTCTGCCCCCCGCCCTGGCGCACGCGGGGCTCCCTGGCCCCGGCGCATGGTGGAGGACGGGACAAAGACGACCGGTTGAGGAAATGAAGAAGGGCACGGTGAAGAAGCAACGTGAGGATATTTGGGACTTTTTCCAACGCAGATTAACACCGTTAGATGGAAAAGTGGACGGAATGGCTTGGGAGGCAAAAAAGTAAAGTGTCATGGCACATAGGTGCATTCGAACTTTTTAGTGGCACGTAGGCCGCGACCATCTTTTATAATGGCACACAGGTAAAAGGCTGGATACTTCCCCTACAGTTAACTCGATCGCATTGTTGCCGCTCAACACTATTGCTAGTGCACACCGTGCTCCCTCGCACCTCCATCCTGCATGCATGTCATTGCCGCCTACAGCGCTGTCGTCGCATGTCAACGCTGCTATTGCCGCGCCTTACATGTGCAGCGTCGATGTATGTGTAGACGACGCTAGCCACCCTCCCCGTCCCTGACCAGTCACCCGGTAAGCCCCCCTCTCCCCCTACACACCTAGCAATTGAGCGCATGTTGCATGTGGGTAATGATGGAAGTCCATGGAGCATGGGGTGCGCCCAATAGAGGGGCACATACACACATAAACATTTGATCAACTAGCTTCAAGCACATCGATGTAGGAGACAAGGTTATATAATTCAATTTGTCAAATACTATCTTAGGCATGATGCTGACGCTTACTTCAAGGTCACACAACGCTTGTTTGAAGTTTTGTGTCTTGATTGAATATGTGTGTGTCTTCGGTGGTTTAGCACTCAAGACACAAAAGGATTTATCCTGGTTCGGGCGTATATGCCCTACGTCCAGTAGCCGTGTTCTTCGTGTTAGAATACTCAATCAAGTTCTTACAATCGAGAGAGTGGTAGGAGAGCGCTATGTTACTGGTGTAGGGTTTGATCGCTTGATAAGACATATCTTTCTAAACTTGGTAGAAGAGTGGTAGGGCGAAGCCAATTAAAAAACCTAAGGGCTCAGAACTTCGGCCCTCCGTAAATACGCGAGGGCAGAGTAAACCAAAAGGCATAAGGGTTCAAGACTTTGACCCTACACAAACATGCGAGGGTGAAGCAAAGTGAAACCATAAGGACTCAAGACATCGACCCTCCGAAAATGACTACAAAAGTCAACTGAAAAGCCCAAGGACTAAGCGAGACATACAAGGACTAAGCGAACTAAAATCTTTGTTTCAATGCTAATAAATTACATGAGATCGAAAAACCTAATAGCCAATGACTTCAGCTTTCCAAAAACATGCGAAAGCTAAGCACTTTCAAAACACTACTTCAGTTCTCGAACCGGACAAGCCACAATAGTCACCAACAAGTGCAAGAATAGCAGAATCTCTAAACCGTACAAACATTAAAGTATCTCGGAACCAAACTACTAACACCAACCCACATGCACACACTTAAAGCCAATGGGACCTGCATAATTAATACTACTTCACATGAGCCAAAAAGGTCGCCTTATTAGCAGCGTAAGGCTCTCCAATATCGGCAAAAACATGATTGATGAGATAAAAAAATAGTCAGCATTCGTAGAGCACTGAATGCATAATTTTTGACCACTATGTACGCAATTATCTGATAAGAGCTCAATGACTTTGCATTGCCAAAATACGCGCAATCAAAGCACAATGATTTTATATGAGCTCAATGACTACGCATTGCAAGTAGGTGCCAAAGTAATCTAAAATCGCAAAGGGGCTCATTCGCCGCTTCTAGCCCCCTCGCCTCAAAAGGTATGGGGGTTGGCGCCAAACTAATCTAAAAGCGCTGAGGGGCTCATTTTGTGACTACTCATTCCCTCGCCCCAAAAGTTATGGATTTGTGCAAAGGCAATCTAAAATCACCGAGGGGCTCATTTCACCGCTTCTAGCCCCCTCGCCTCAAAAGGTATGGGGGCTGGCACCAAACTAATCTAAAAGCGTCGAGGGGGCTCATTTCATGACTACTCGCTCCCTTGCTCTAAAAGTTATGGGTCTATGGGAAAGTAATCTAAAATCTCCAAGGGGTTCATTTCGTTGTTTCTAGCCCTCTCGCCTCAAAAGGTATGGGGATTGGCGCCAAACTAGTCTAAAATCATCAAGGGGCTCGTTTCGTGACTCTTCGCCCTATCATCTCAAAAGATATGGGGGTTGACGCCAAACTAATCTAAAATCATCAAGGGGCTCATTTTGCAACTCTTCACCCGCTCGTCTCAAAAGGTACGGGGCTGACACCAAAGTAATCTATCAGTGAGCAGCATCACCATCGACTTCGGCTAAATCGAGACCACCTATGGCAACCTATCAGCAAGGGGTTTTGCCACCAATTTTGCTATCGTCTAGTTTGTCTTTGCTAGCATTTTGGGGTTGAGGGATCGCCATCAACATCTTCGCCTTCACCATCAATTTGGGCAGGGGGGTTGCCATGAACACCTTCGACTTTGCTTTCGCTGTCAATTGCATCGGGGGGTCTACATCTGTGACATCTATGAAATTAACCAAGCCTACGCCATCTACTTCAACCACGCAAAAAAATTATCACAAGCGCCAGCCAAGAGGGGCTAGCGAGGAGCACTTTGGGCGAGCAATCTGCTCGGAAGACAAAAGCTTTGCCTAGCGCCCATGAGTGAAAGATTGAACACGTGTCATTATCATCAACAACTTCCTCGCCTACGTCGACTACTTCGCCCACTTCAACAACATCAATGTCTTCGGTGAAGGCTCAATTATGAAAAGAAGGAATCAAGAGCTCAAGGCCATGCGAAGGAGCAAGCTACCAAAGGCAG